GATATTCGCTGTATGCAAACAACTTCGGATGAAGTTTTGTAGCGAAACGAAAACAGATTTTGTTCAGTGGAGAAATATTTCTTTTCAATGTCTTCATATTGTAGAAAAAAGCATTAAGTGGAAGTAAATATTACACAGTGGACATGCTTATAATAAGAATAAAACTAACTAATATCACTTGTGAGTATGGGGGGGGAAGGGGATACAGTTGAAATGGATGGATTACAGAATAACAAAAGATTATTTTACAAATGAATTGGTTTTAAAAGGATTAAAATAGGTCAATTGGTGTCAAAAATTGAAATTAATAATGCTGATAGTAATAATGAAAGGGAAGGATAAAGTGAAGTGGAATAACATCAATATGTCACTTGGTCGATTCTCGACATGGCATCGATGCTAATACAGCCATCAGGGTTATATACCGAATTCCCAATTCATTATCACATATAGTTCCCTTACGCCTCCTACACATAGCTAAAGCTGCTGCAATAAGATCGACTAAATCAGAACCCTGTATTCAAAAAGAACACGTCCAGATGCTGTTCCTATCGTGACCAAACTTGGATTAATGATTCTTCTTCTCACCAAGAGTACTTCTTCCCCTTAACTCTTTTGGTTTTTTTTATTTCTTTGCTAATTAATACAATTATTATTGTTGTTAATATTCGTCATAATTTTTACCCTTCATGCAAACATTCTCTCAATACTATCGAATTTTTCGTTTATACAATCCGGACTTATTACTAGTGATATCATCCCTTTTCTCAATATATGCCTCCATCTGTTTCATTTCACACATTCGTTATTTCATTATGAACCTCTCTTTTCAGTCTTATTATCTCCTGTTTAATACATACCACTTTGTACTAGCAACTCACATGAAACGTTTTATAACCTTGAACTGACTTGTCAGTTTTCCTGCCCCACACTCTACAAATCTATTATGACTAGTCAACACTAATGTCTCCCATTTCACAATATTTTGTAATTGATTTCAGCCCAAAGCACACTTGTCATACAAATACAACCATTTATTTTGACACCTCATAACTAATCTGTCATTCTGCGTAAAAATGTATACGCCGCTTAACCGGCTGTCAGTATTGTAACGACAACAAATATTATATTTTATAATTGTAAGAACCTGAAGAGGAGAACTTATTGAAAAGAATATTCTTCGTTCAGATTGACTTTTACTTTTATAAAACGTCTATAAATACATATTTTAGGTTTTTGTTGATGTATAGCTAGAGTTTCGGCCATACAAAGGTAGTGAAGGCACTAACTTTTAGAGTAGCTGTAAGCAGTTGGCTAAAGTTATCTTGTCTGATACCGAAATATCCTCCTTATTCGTATCTTCGGATAAAACCAGAAGTTAGAATTCATGGGCCATTGCATCGGGTCCCAGTGGCTTGATGGTCTACGAGCTCGTTGGCCTTTTGACCAGAAGTTCGTGGGTTCTACTCCTAGCACTCGGTGAGTACTGTGAAGAGTCCCAAACTAGGCTGACGAAACAGCTGTGCAGTACTCCGTGCAGGTTTTCCAATGGTTCTCTAACTGATGTCAGCTCATGATGATGAAATCCTTCAACCAATCAAAATAAAAAAATCCCTACAAAACCAATACTTGAAAACTTCATAAGAATTTATGATTGTATGACTACTGCATATAAAAATTCTACAATATCATATTTAGCACAGGTTTTGTGTGAAGAGAGAGTCAAATGTCAGAATAGAACTTATAAACTTTTTAAAACAGTAATCTGAACTGCAAAGTATAAGCGAAGATTATTATTGAATATATTATCTACTATATTATCCATTTATAATTCATTATGTTTCCGCCAACCTTCAATTTTTTGTGGCTTTATTATTATTTTTTTTTAATTTTGTATATCTACATATTTATAAAAGTAGCTAAATTGTTGTAATATGTATAAAAAAACGCTGAAAACTCCATTCTGTATAATTACTGTAGTTTGGAATAAAATGATTGTTATTATTATTATTAGCTCCATAGAAAATTTTAAAGAATAAGTCACAATGAGATTGAGTGATCTGACTCAACAGGGCGTTCACAAATAAAACAAAAACAACTTCAGTGTTCTGTGTTCATCTTTCATCAAACAAACTGGGCAATGTTTAGTTTTTGGTAATACGAATACAATTGTACAACTTAAAAATGAAGTCGTTGAAAAGAAATACTTTCGAATTTGAACAAAGCAAAAACTACAATTTTAGCAGAATAAAATGGTACCATCTTTTATTTCGTCGCCTTCTCGTCAGCTGCTTACAGGGCAAAGACATTATTAAATGTGTCTACAAAAACAATTTTAACATACTTGCACAGATTTCATTTTAAACAAAAAGCTTACGTCTAAAGGGAACAAATGCTTTAAACAGTGTCATCTCCAGGCATTTCCTCAACACGGGTCATTAGTCGTTTAAAATTATTCAAAGACCTCAATTCTCCTTAAGTTTGCTGAAGCCATTTCCATCAAGCGCCTGAAACCTGATTTATGCGTTCAGAAAGAAGCGGTTAGCAGTCTTTTTTTGCCGTGGTAACTGGGTATTTTTCATCCGAAGTCGAAATGCTGAAAAGTTTTCATTGTATATGATTATTATTGTTCGGAATAGTGTTTAATATTGCATATATATGTAAATATTATTAGTGTATGCGTATATTGATCGATTGATTTTTAAAAGAATGGACACGGAACAAAGAGTACTCTTTTCGATAAATTCATCATCAGATTCTACAATTATATTTACATTATAATGAATGAATGAATTAGTCTTATGAACGACATTAATGTTTAAATAACATCAAATGAATAATATTGATAGATTACAGCTGAACAGCATCAACATAAAATAAACTGAATGTCAGGAGAATTAGGAAAGGTAATAGTACAAGTTCATGAGTTTATAGTCTCTACTGAGGGCCAGGGCAGTAGTAGGGGCTGGACGTGTTTCTTTTGGACACAGAGCACTGGTTGTTTGAGGCGAATTGCAATAGCCTCTGCTGTTTGGAGAATACGGTGCTTCGACGATTTTGGTAATTTGTTAGCCACCCGGTATATTATAGAGAAGGATTCTTCTACACTGGCTAGCTTTGTCACCGGTTTGCACCAGATGGTCCAATATCGAGCTGTTAATAGTTTTAACTACACCTTTACTTAACCATAGTGGGATATGTCCTCGAGCCCGAAAAATCAAGTTCCTAGAGCAACGGCCAATATAACCCGCTCCACAAGCGCAGTTGAATTGATAGATACAATTTGAAGTGGCTAGTCTAGGTACTTCATCTTTCGATCGAGGAATTACTATCGGTCGTGTAGAGAATAATACGTGTAGTTCGCCAGCATTAAAAGTTCTTTGAACTGATTTTCTTAATTTCTTCGTAATTATCTCGCTTGGTATATCGCCCATGAATTGTAGTCGGATATATAAAGGCTTCTTATTTACAGATAGTGGGTAGTCCTTTTCCGCTTTCTTTGTCATGTGTTTCTTGATAAATTTGTCAGGATAATCACTTTCGATTAAAGTATCATATACCAAGCTTAATTCATCTTTAATTACTTCTTCAGAGCATATAGCTCTAACTCTGTGGCTAAGGGTCTTCACTAAATTTCTTTTGTAATTGATGGGAAGGAAGCTGTTAAAGTGTATATATTTTTGTTTAAAATGAACTCTGTGCAAGTATGTTAAAGTTGTTTTTGTAGATACATCTAATAATGTCTTTGCTCTGTAAGCAGCTGACAAGAAGGCAACGAAATAAAAGATGGTGCCATTTTATTCTGCTAAAATTGTAGTTCTTGCTTTGTTCAAATACTTTTCGACTGAACAAATCCGTTTCCCTTGTTATTATTAATATTATTATTATTATTGATTCGTTCTTTGAGTTCTTAGTAGAACATACAGCTTCAGTGGCATATATAGTTGCACTTAATTCCCTTCAGTCACTTACAGCTAAATCCGTGACTACGCACAAGCTTTCATTTCCTCCACACACGATTTCCTACAGGTGATCCTGAGACACTGAATTCGTCGCTCCCTATTCGGGTTCCATCCGAGAGTGTTCCGTATGATGCTACTTGTAATTCTCCTCAGCATATTTCCATTTTCTTCCGCATATTTGTCAGACAATAGGTTCTTGCATCGTTTGCTTCTAGAAATCCCGTGTTGTTCATCGTTTCTGATTGGCTATCTGATCTTCAGATGTTAACGAAAGTTCGCAGTAGGCTGTTGGAAATGATTTATTTGACGCATGTGGGCCAAGTCTCTGAACCACATGGAATCGCTGACTGACTTGACGCTGATGTTAAAAATCCTGATTTTGTTCCACGCATTGATTATTGTAGGTCTTTACATTGGCTTCAGAGTAGTGGTAATAGCCTGTCTTGAATTCACAATGATAGCTGACTTTGACAGCATATCTATGCCACCTCGGGTAGTTGAAACTATGCTGACTAGGTCAGGTAAGAGATAAAAACCCAAAGGACTAGATCTTAGGATTTTTTCATACTCATGAATTAATGTGAATGTACTTCGTGATTTAGAAAAGTTAACTACTTACTAGTGAAGCTTTAGCGTCGGTGGCATAGCGGTTAAGACGCTCGCCGACCATGCACATGGTCCGAGGTTCGATCCCCAGCCAGCGCACTCCTCTACCTCGCTAAGCCAGTAATAAAAGCTGGTGAAGAGGAAAGGTTGGGCATGAGGCTAGCAACCCTATCCTGTAAAAATAATCACCACTGCTACAGAAAGTTCAAGCCACTAGCTTGAAGCCCTATGTTCCACTGGGGAACGTGAAGGAAAAAAAGTGAAGCTTTAAGAGAATTAAATATTTTGACAGATTACTTTTAAAAAAAAATTTTTTTTATGTAAAAAATATGACAATTAACTGATAACTCATTTATTTTATTACTTTCTGATTTGCTTCACTTTCCGCATTATACTCAAAAATTGTCGAATTGAATGGCTAACTCTATTCAGATGATGATATTGATGATGATGGTGATGTATATAATTATCCAAAATATTCAACTGGTAGAAAACGTCCTTATGAAGAAGAATTCCTCTCACATCCTCTTCATCCCCCGCCGCCTCCCATTGCTCCTTTTGCTCCTTCTGCTGCTGCTGCGTCGTCGCCACCACTGCTCAACTTCATCCTCCACATCATCCTCTTCCACATTATGAAGATCCAACTATGAAATCAAAATTAGATATTAGGCATAATAAATATCTTACTCCACCATATAATAAAGGTGATTCATTTCGTAGAGCTGTTAGCTTAGATAAACCATCCTATCCAATAAGTTCATTATATGAACAGCATCAACAACCTCAAATCCAACAGCAACAACAACAACAATACCAACGTTATCAACAGCGCCAACAACAACAACAATATCGACAACCTCAACATTTAGAAGAAAGTTTAGAATCAAAATTTACACGTCAATATCGTTTTAAATATCGTCTTCCATATTATTCTACATCATTAGATTATCCATCTTCATCGAGTAGTAAAGCAAGACCATTACTACATCCTGGTTATGTACAAACGTATAATATTATTTCACCAATTGAAGAAAAAGGTGATTTTGAATTGGAGACAAAACGTTATCAAAAAACAGAAGGCAAGATTAATCAAGATATTGATGATATAATAGAAAATAAGGAAAAAGTAAGTTATAATGTCAAATTTGGTATGCGTTAATTAATTTTTCTTTCAATACTTTAGGATCATATTTGAGTAAAAAAGTTTAAAATCAAACTTAAAATTATTTCTTATTATTCGCAATGAACATTTCGTTATAAGGTGAGCAATACTGAGGTTAGGCGTCGAGTACTAGGTAAGGAGGGGAAATCAATGGACGAGACTTTGAAATTACATCGACTGAGATGGTTAGCACATGTGTTACGTATGCATCCCTAGTCATCGCCTTCCTCGACGGGCAATTTTGGCTGATATAGGGTCAGGCTGGAAAAGAGCTAGCGGCGGTCAAAACAAAACATGGCACCAGTCAATGAAATCCACAACAGTTAGTCTAAGCCACGTAGGAAGGTGTAGACTTCCTGACTGGTTGGGGTCCTCGGGACGGTAAAAACCAATGGTTGGAAATAATTGGTGACATGGCTCAAAGTCGTTCTCAATGGCTGTTGCAGATGCATCCACTCCTTGTGACTTATGATTTCCAATTAAGCTGTTTTGTTCTTCGTTAATACTATTCCTTTGTCTCACACCTCTGTTTACTGTCTATATTATGCATTTCTCCCACTTCCTTCTCTTGCTTTGTGTGCTAATCTGAGGGAGTGTGGCGACCTGAACCGCCACACATATGTGCAAATTTCAATGTCGAAAACAGACAGACAGACATTCCGTTCTAACGTGGGACTCGTCACCTGAATGCACTTGAATGTACTTGGTGGGAACACCACTGGGTTGACGAAGCTGAATAGGGCAAAATTTGCCTCCTGAGTCACACTAATAATCACTATCCACCAAGGTAACACCAGTGTTAATCCTTAGATGTCGTGGAAGCGCCTGTGTTAGGAGCCTTGATTTAAAAACACAGGCTGAACATTTCGACAGTCAGTCACTCGACAGGAAAAAGAAAATCAACTTCAATAAATAGAAACAGTGTTGTTATTGCTTAAAAATAAATTCATCAGCAGAGTGACGATTCGAAGTCTACTGGTTCGAGTTTTGCTGTGGCTCAAATTTTCATTTCATTTTCGATTATCATACATAAACATTATGTAAAGTTATATACTACTCATCTCAATCTATCAGTAGTCTATAGCTTAATGCATCTGTCCTCGCTTTCCTGATTACCATTTATGGCATCAAGCAGATCGTGTCTTGTAATCTCATTAATTTTGGTTTCCAAAGGAAACTGCGGTGAAATTTCACCTCCTGGAAATGTGTAAATTGCTAATTAATTTTCGCGACTTGCGAGTTAAATCTCAACTAAACAACTCAGAAACACAATCATCGGACATCAACAATTCAAAGTGCACCGTGATGGCGAGCTGCCTAAAATGGTGGCCACATTACAAACCTGACTGATAGGATTCAGTCTGCACCAAAAACAGATGGGACTAAAAACACATTACACTAGTTACTAACTAGTGGCTAATCGAAAGGATCCAATACAGTCCTACAGGAGGTCAATCGCTAGCCCGAACAGCTCGCTGGTAGTAACGTCTCTAACTGCAGGCGACACTGGGTGAGGTGGGTTCAAATCTCAGAAGTGATATGAGTTCCTTCAAGGTTGCAGATACGCCTTGCTGACTGGTGAGTGTCAACTAGCCAGGGCTTCATGCCGATTGCCTCCAACCGTCTAACATCAACAGAAGCACAATCGAAGGAATCAAACCGAATGAGATGAATAACGTCTATGATAAGTTTTTTTTAATCCCCTTATATTGCGTTCGGAACATTTAGCTTCCGGATTTCGCAGGTTCAGTAGCTGTGATGTTGTTGTGAATTGAACTCTTACCATTCCACATGGCTAGCAAGGATTCTGCTGATATGAACAACTCTCATTGTCATATATAATTTCTGGTCATATTAAAATTATTACCCATTGTAATATAGGTTTTTATTGTGTTTATCAATTGTTACAATAAAACCCTAATTTGCACTAAGTATTTATGTTTTATTTTGGATACACAATTTTCTCCTTGTTTACAAGATGTTACATGATACATTGCTCAGAAATTCTTGTCAGTTAGACACATCACACCGTTGTTATTCTATTCACTGTTAAGCCTCCAGCTGAATATTTATAAAACTGACGATAGGAACACTTATTTGAGAGATTTGCTCTTACATACCGATATTCGTGTACAGTGGTAACAAATGCTTTGCAATGGATTTTCTGAAGTCTAAAGAGTTATAATTATATTTATTTAATTCCTTTTGTGTTCCGAGTTGAACACAGGGCTTCAGGAGTCAGCTTTGAAGTTTCAGTAGCAATGATGTTTTTACGGGATGGGGTTGCTAGCCCCAAGCCCAATCTACCCTCTTTGTCGGGGTTACAACCGGCTAAGTGAGGTAAATGTGTGCGCCGGCCAGGAATCGAACACCGGATCACATACATGATTGGCGAGCATTCTACCACTGAACCACCGACGCACATTAGGAGTTAGCTGTGATCAGTAGTGTCAAGCTGAGAAGATCATTCTCCTCTCCTCGTCTTGAATTTCCAATAGTTGAAAATCGCTTATCTATTTCCAACAGGTTGCAGACCTTTATCAACAGCTGTCTTCGTTCTATACTGAAGATCAGATGGCTGGAAAGAATCACCAACAAGAAACTATGGGAACAAACAAAACAAGAACCAATCGCCAAACAACAAATATGCGGGAGAAAGTGGAGATGGATTGAACACTCGCTGAGGAGCCCGTTGGGTGACATCGCGCGTCAGGCCAGTGCTCGAGTGGAACCCGAAAGGGAAGCGAGTGGCGAGTGGGACGTCCAAGGGTGACATGGAGGAGATCGTGTGAAGAGGAGCTGAAACAGTATGGACTAACATGGATGCAGGTGAAAAGTACAGCAGAAGACAGAAGCAAGTGGAGACGTGCAGCTGAAGCCCTATGTTGCACTAGGAACCCAAGGGAACAATAATAATAATATCTGTTGGACTTTAGCCATGATACTTTGTTTGAAACTTCAAGATACCGACGTCCATTCCTTTAGCTTCAGTATAATAAATAGTACGTATGTACCGATGAAATGTTGTCAGTACCAATGAAACATCTCGTTAGTTTGACACCAATTCAGAATAAAGTCTGCACTGAAGATGCTGTTCAGAAAGATAATGAAAGCTTCGTAATTAAACTAACCAGATCAAAGAATACACCCACACCAAAATGATACTTTACTACTGACCGTAAAACAGTAACATATATATATATATCAACACACTCAGAATCGTAACAGTTGCGGTGAGATGAGTTCAGCTAAAAGTTAAGCATCATTAAAGATGGCCACTGATGTTTGATATTCAGTGATATGTCACATTCCCTTAAAAAACCAACAGAAGTTAGAAAACTGAAGCTACTGGCTTGTATCATAATTCCAGTCATGTTTTAATTTCATCTTTAATAATAATCCACTACAACAAATACCAGTCTGTTAGCTCAAAGCTATCTCAGGTAACCTGGACTGCAGCTTATTACCGGAATTGTAAAGTGAATGAAAACACTGCTTGGTTACAAGTCAGAAGGGATTCCTAAACGTCCCTTAATTTTTTAGAAGATTTTCCAGATAACTTTAGGCTATTCAAACATTTGTTAAGTGGTTGCGGGTAACCACCAGCAGGAATCTATATTACCAAGCTTTTGTGTTTATTCGAAATCATCTATAACCTGAGAAGAATTGATTTCTGCTCGGATATTTGGACCTGATTCACTCAGTGCTGCAGTTATAGACGTTACCAATCAGCTGTTTTGATCTGAAAGCTCCAGGTTGCAGATGCACTTTGCCGACTGAGTACTAACAAGCATAAAACCTAGATCCAGGGCTCTCAGGAGTGATTCCCTTCAACCCTCCAAAATTAATTCAAATTGTAACACACAACAACAAGTCATCCTATTGCAAACTTGACTGATACAATTCACTCCGCATTTGAACTGACTAAAACCTGAACGTATGATGTCAGTAACTACCTAATGACTAATTATTGTGTAATCAGCCATACTGCTTTAACAAATAAATAAATAATTATAATACTTATTTGTTTGTTTTAACTGAAGAACAACACCAATTTAAATGAGCGCCACTAGGATACATGAAAATACAATTGTATATACTAGTTGATCGCGGATTGATATCAGTTAGAGAGCCATTGAAAACCAGCGAGGAGTACTGGACAGCTGCTGTTTCATCCTAGTTTGGGAATCATCGGCAGTACGCACCCACTGGAGTTCGAACCCAGTGGCTGAATGGCATACGAGCTTGCCTTGTAACCAGGATATCCTGGGTTCAACCTTTGGCGGTGGGTGCGTACTGACGATGATTCCCAAACTAGGATGAAACAGCAGCTGTCCAGTATTCCTCGCTGGTTTTCAATGATTCTCTAACTGATATCAATCCGTGATCAAATCGTTAAGACAAAACGAATCCTTACAAACCAACCATAGACAATTGTATATGTTTATCTTTAAAATCCTGTCTCTCCTACATGTGACTACTATAGTCTAGAAAGACTACTCTGTCATTGATACTGATATAATTAAGAGTATGCTTTATCACTATTCATATATACCTAAATGTATATTTTTCTAAAATTTCATATTTTAGGTTTATTGTGTACAAACCAAAGAAAAAGATGGATTTTCAAGGGATTCAGAAAAGTCAATACAGCCTCATCCAATGACAACAGACATTAAAACTGATGGAAGTAAACATACTGCTGATGGTAGTATTAGTAATAGTAGTAGTATTAGTAATCATAATATTAATAAACATAAATTTTATGAAACAACAGACATGCATATATCAAAACCATTCAATGCATCATTCGATGAAATTGTACCATATGATAAAAGTATACCTGTAACACATAAAGAAGTCAGGATTAGTGATACACAACCAATTGTAGCTATTTCGAAAAAATCAATCAATTTATCATCTAATGAATTAAATATTCAATCAAAACTGTTATCAACAAGTCATACAACACCACCGCCAACTGGTTCTACCGTTGGTGGTGTTGGTGGCGTTGGTGGTGGCGGTGTATTAAAAGTATCTGTACAGTTAGGTGAAAATGAAATTCAAGAATTTGCTGAATATTGGGACCATAGTATCTTTTCACGTGCAAGAGTTACTGCAGTCTGTTTAGCTGGAGTAGCTTCTGTATGTCTAGTCTGTACTGTATGCGCCAGTACTTGGTTATATCAGGGATATGGTAAGTTGAATTATATGATGTATGAAAATAATGGATTATTATTATTATTACTTTTATTACCAATCTGATCTTACTTTTGATGTCTTTAGAGGTTATTATTGCCATTATTGCTTCTGGGATGCGTTGGATAGACTAACATCAGTTCGACAGGTGAACAGCTATTGCATAATGTTAGCAGACTTCTATTTATCTCTGCAAAGACTTAAGTGACAACAGAACCCGCTTATTTGGTAAAATGCAGGCAGAATAGGCATATTGCACACAACCACAATGAGTAGTTAACGAATTATCTAAATATCGGGGAAATTTACATTACCGCTTAAAATGTATAGGTGGTCTGAACAGATTGTTTAGCCATATAAGAACTAAAGGCGACAACTTTTAAAGCTACTGAGTGTAATCAGAGAATACGTCACTAAAGCGTTTGTTGTTTCATGTTTAATATCATTTAACGGGTATGTCAGTAAATTTGTAGATAACTGAATCTACCTACCTATGACTGACAACTTGGGATCACGGTGTAATCCATCTACAGGCTCAACAAATATGAGCAGTTTGCTACTAGCTGTGATACTATGGCACTAAATGGCTCAATTTCGTCACATAGGCGTTTTAATATTCGTTCCTGATGATGTGTTTATTAGCTCTGCGGTTGTGTGCCAATAATTATATATAAATCAGGACCTGTTCAATAATTATATCTAGTATTGAGTTATTATTATTTCCTTGGGTTCCAAGTGGAACATAGCGCCTCAGTAGCACATCTCCACTTCATTCTCTTCTCTGCAGACCTCTTTAACTGGCTTCAAGATTCCCTATAAACTCCCATCTCTCTTCATATGATCTCCTCCACCATATCACCCTCGGACAGATGCCCACTCAACTGGTGACCTGCCTTTCATCTGTTGTCATTCAGCATATGTCTCCATTTTATAAGCATATTTGTTAAGCAACAGGTTCTTGACTGGTTCGTCCTCAGAGTTCCTTGTTGCTAATCCATTCTGACCATCTGATCTGCATATTATGGAGTGAAGGCAGCTGTTGATGAAAGTCTGCAGAAGGCTGTTGGAGATTCTTTTGGTGACGCTCTAAATCTCTGAGCCATAGAGAGAAGTATTGACTGACTTGACATTAGTGTTAAAAATCTGGATCATTTTTTATTTTTACTGCTGAGTACAGCTGATTTCCACATTGATTCCAGACAATTGGTTGGTCTTGCCGAAGTCAGTATATATAGTCACAAAATGTTTCCTTTCTCTTTTTTATGTTACTTCATAAATTCTATTAAACTGTACTCCATTTCGCTAAAAGACCGAAAGATTATTTTGTAGTTTCGAAACTGTAAGTTACGGTTAATAAACTTCAATATAGTGACCGAATAGAGAAACGTACTCATCTCATAATCTGTAACACATTCAGAGTGAATTTACTGAAGCCACGAAGACATCTAGTAATTATAAAACAAAACATGAGAACCGCTGAATTCTACTTGATTTTCTTTTCAATTATTTTTTGGGTTAATTTCTTTTTATGACCAAAATCTTCTTATAAATATTTCTGAATTACCTTTAATATACATAATTGCATATACTACTGATTGATTTAAGTAGTTTAGAACTACTCACCTTAAATAATGAGGCTGACTAGGTGGGGTTCTAAGTGATCTAATCGCTGGATGACTGTCACGCTTAATTTCGGTGGAGTTCATCAGTCGTGTACGAGAGTGATCAGTTCAGACCGCCAGAATTCTACTATATAGTGTGAATGGACCCCAACTACTCTGCGGCCATACACCGTCATTCACTTGTTTTCTCGATTTTCGTTTGCACTCTCAAGAAGATTACAATATCTTTTATTTGGTTATTTTTAGTTTCTGCCGGAAATATACCACTTTGAATTAATTCTTATCTCAAACTTTGTGTTATTTACAGATAACGAATATGATCAGTGCTTGCTAACCTCCCATGTGGTCTGGGGTTCAACCCCTTGCCGATGAACTCCTAAACCTCTCTTCACTGGCAGAAAAGCCGATTAAAGAGGAAAGGCTGTGTGTGAAGCTAGCAACGCCAGCCAGTAAAAATAAAACAATTTTTCTACTGAAATTTTAAAGCACAAGTTTTGAGTATTATGTTCCACTGTCAAGACAGAGGAATGAATAAAATAATAATAATAGGTATCCATTACAGTCTTATGCGTCGGTGGTATAGTGGTTAGGACGGTCGCCGACCATGCACATGGTCCGGGGTTCGATCCCCGGTCAACGCACTCCTTTACCTCGCTAAGCCAGTAATAAATCTGATGAAGAGGAAAGGTTGGGTATGAGGCTAGCCACCCCATCCTGTAAAAACAAACACCACTGCTACAGAAACTTCAAGCCTCTAGCTTGAAGCCCTATGCTCCACTGGGGAACGTGAAGGTGAAAAAAAGAAAAATTACAGTCTTATAGAAGGTCGATCATGGACCGGGATAGCTCAGGTGTAACATCTCTGACTAAATTACTGGTTAACCTGAGTTTGAATCTCAGAAGGGACATGAATTGGTCCTGAGTGCTGGTGATTGCCAACAAACACGAAATCTAGATTCAAGAATTCCTACCGATAGCCTTTCAAACATCTAACAAGAATGCTTAATTCGTCCATTCAAATATGTAGTTGCATTATTATTTATTTTTCCACTTATCCATTCAGTCATTCAGTCATTCGGCTTTGTTAGGGAATAGATGAAAAAGGAAATATTCTCATTTCATTTGATTTATTATAGTTGATTGTATGATTGATTGATTGATTGATTGATTTACTGAGAGATAAATTACTGATTGATGGATGGATTGACTGACTGACGTGACTGACTGAGTGATAGACTTACTGACTTACTGTAAACAATTCGATTACCTGATTGGTTAATTCATCTTGTCCGAATATTAACAATGCAGAAAACCAATTTTTTTTATTTTGCTTATTTCAAAAAAATATGTTATCGCTGTTTGGTGTCTTTTCTCTTGTTATTGCTGTTATTGTCGTCATTGTTGTATTTTTTATTCAAACGATATTCGTGTGTGTGCATGTGTGTGTGTGTGTAAGGAGTCATTTGTTACTATCCTCAAAGTATAATTAAATTTCTGATTAGGAGAAATGATGACTGGAGGCGAACTCACAGTTTACATATATATATATTGAAATTAACATGCTTAGAATTGGCTGATCATTAGCGCCTGACCCTATTCAGACGATTACCTGGAGTTCTAGTGGGAAACCGTGACCAGTCGTGGGTACAGCAGGTTGAAAGGGGAGGCAGTAACTCATCGAATGAGACATTGCGAAGTGGTCTCGCTATGTCATGAATTGCCAGCAGTTAGAATTCATGGGCTGGCTTTTAAACCGGTCTCAATGGCCTAATGGTCTACGAGCCAGCTCGCCTTGTAACCAGAGGGTCCTGGGTTCGAACCCTGACGGTGGGTGCTTACTGATGAAGAGTCCCAACCTAGTCTGACGAAACAGTTGTCCAGTGCTCTCAGGTTTTGCTGCTCATGGTGAAATCCTCCAACCAATCATAAAATCTAAGCCTAGCTAAGCCTATCAGTTAACTTGCTTTAACATACAACAAGGTTCGATAATTTCATGTTTAAAATTATTTTTCTGATGTTTTAAAAAAAATGTTTTTCTCTATTTTATTTTTAGTCATATTTTTCTGCCTTAAACATAAAACATGTTGTTCATGTTCGTCATTACAGAAGTTTTTGTGTTTCCAAAGGAATGAAAAACAAAACGATATTGTCTTTTTTACTAACATTTCGTTATTTAATGCTAATAGCTTTATCATGTTATCGATTTATGCTTATAATCTACTGTCGATTGGCTTTGTTTTTTCACCGCTTGCATTCAAGCTTGAGCTTGAAGAAGTTCTAATAGTGGTGACGCTATTTCAAAAGGTCTAGTGTCATACCTAACCTTCCAACTTTTCATGGTTTATTATCCGCTAGGCGAGATTCAAGAGTACATTGGCCAAGAGTCGAACTCTGAAATCCCGCGTAGCTGGCGAGCATTTTACCATTGAACTAAAGACGCATGCTATTGATTTTTCCCGTGTATCAACCAACTCCTTGAGTTAATTTCCTGATATTGTCATGTTTACTAGATCTCATAGCTATCAATGTGAGCTTGTTGTGAGTCTAATTAGGAACAGGATCACTCATTAAGAAGCATTTAAATTTACCTGATAACTCTGAAATAATTCGAGATGCATATTCGTGGAGATTGGTATTATAACGGCAGACGATAGGAGAATTGGTAACGGAATTGTTTACTTGCAACTCGATATATATATATACTATATTTGACACTGAACTGATGAGAAATACATATCAGTAAGACTTCAGGATTGAGTTGTATTGCTAGGCCACTCGATCAATTAATGCGATTATACGTGAACTAGACTTTGGGTATATTTATTTTATTGTTTCTAATGCAAAGGGCAACAACAAGCCACGTACGTCAGGCTTGGTAGTTTTTTAAACAGTAAATTACACAACAATTATAAGTAGGGAGTTATAGAAAGCCATGCTTAAAACCAGAGATTCTTTAATCTGGAGTTAATATGAATTGACATCTAGGTGAAATGACTTTCAAAATAAGTATATCATTATTATTCTCTTGGGTTCCGGATGGAACATAAGGATTCAACAACACACCTCCACTTTCTTCTACTTTCTGCTGTCCTCTTCAGCTGGGTTCACGATAGCCCACAATCTCTCATCTCCTTCTCGCATGATTTCCCCCACATCACCCAAGGACGACCCACTCGTCGCTTCCAGTTTGGGTTCCACTCGAGCTAGCACACGATTTTATGCTACGGTCCTCTCAATTTATGCCCGATCCATCTCCATTTTCTATTACATATTTGCTGAGCGTTCGGCTCTTGGTTGGCTTGTTCCCAGCCAGAGTTCCTTGTTGTTAATTCTTTCTAGCAGGCCATTTGATCTTCAGTATGGAATCAGTGAAAGCAGCTGTTGATAAAAGTTTGCAATCTGTTGGGAGTGCAGAAGATTTTCAAACTGGCTTCAGGTTGATGAAGGTGTATCTTGCCTTTCCGATTCTGACTTTGACACCTTCATACGTTTCACCGGCTGTAGTCGAAACGATGTTTCCTAGATAAGTGAAGGCAGGAAGTAACCTCTGTTAAATCTCTCTCATTGATGGTGATTGGTGCTGGTTGTTGTTGCTGTTGCTGTTGGTTGGTTATCCTCATCCCCTCCGTCTTCTGTATGTCAACTTGGAGTCCTGTCTTCGCTACTTCTTCTGCCAGTTTGTTACTTTTTGCCTGCAATTCTTCGAGTTTGTTCTACAATAGACATATATCGTTTGCAAAATCCCGATCTTCCAGAGTCTTCTCATCTGTCGTCTAGCGTACTCCTGTCTCCTCGCTCTCTACAGTCTGGCGCATAATCCAGTCGACCACAATTAGCAGTATCATAGGTGATAATAGGCAGTCAGACTTGTTTTACTCCTGTATTCACTTCGAACGCCTCGCTGAGTTTCCCGATGTGGATCACCTGACACGTGGCATTCTCATATAGCCAGCTGTTGAATGAAGTTGATAAAGACATGGGCACTTTACTCCATAATGTTGAAGTAGTTTCCAAATTACTTCTCGGTCAACGCTGTCCAGTAAAGGCCTTTTCGAAGTCGATGAAGTTGAGACAGAGAGAGGTTTGACTACCATTCTATTTTAGGCTGTATTCGATGACGATGCGTAGAGTTGTAATTTGATCAGCACATGATTTGTCCTTCCTGAATCCAGCTTGTTGAATATAATCATATGGCTTCTATTCTTCCTTTTTCTATCAGTGCATTATACAGCATATATAAGCCTAAATATTATAAATATTAACTAATAAAAATGTCTTATTTAGCTTAAGATTTCTTGGTTATTGTCTCTCATCGGCGAAGCGTGTCTGCAAGACTTCAATCAGTTAAAGTTTTCACCCAGATTCAGTTTTATAGTCACTCGCCTTATCTCACTATGTTATGCCTATTATTGAATTTTCCTACACTAGAATGACACAGTTGTTCAATACTCTGTAGTTTCCACTGGTTATCCAACTACTGCTGGTTTGCGATGAAGTACTTTTGCTTTCCGAGTGGAACATAGGGCTTCAAGCTCGAGCTTTGAAGTCTCAGTAGCAGTGATGTTTTTGCAGGATTGGGTTGGTAGCTCCACATCCAGCCTCGCCCCTTTGTCAGGGTTACAACCGACCAAGTGAGGTAGAGATATGCGCAGATCAGAGATCGAACCCTGTACCACATGCATGGTCGGCGAGCATACTACCGCCGAACCACCGACGCAGGTGTTTTCGCCTGTTTACTTTCTATCCTATTGAAAGCAGAACTTTTTTGAAGAAGTTACCAGTAATTGATTATTTTCTGTCTTTCTATTCATTTGAGTAAATTTCTTTCATCACAGCTGGTTGATCTAACCTATTCTGTGAAATTGTCGGAATATGAATCCCTAACTCATGAGTAACTATAGGATAAAAGTCATGAAGTTCAAATCAAAGGTCATGGTAGGTTAGTTTCAACATTTTGGACTGAATATGATGACCAGCTTACCGATGCTACTAATTTGAAGTAACACTAAATTGCGTAATGACAAAAGTTAAAACGCACAGGGGTCGCTGAATTCGAACACATTATTGGAGTGATTAAACGACTAGCCTCGTAACTTGAAGGTCCTGCGTCTGACTCCTGGCAGGGCTGTAGGTGTGTCTTGCTGATTTGTCCCAGATTACAACAAAACGGTTGTCTAACGCTATGCGATGTCGATACTCTATCAGTTTTGGAAAATAATGTTCTCTCAGCAGGTTTGGACATTTTATTTAAATTGGAATATACGATAGAGATGCGAATAGGTATTTTGGATGACTTTTTATTCGGTTTGCTAATATTCCGTTATAATCAATAGAAATCATTGCGCTTACATTGACTGGTTAATGGGGTGTAACAGGTGCCATGTGTCTATGTGTTAGGGTTAATGCAAACTGAATTTTATCAGTCAAGTTTGTAATATGGTCAGCAGTTTGGTGATTCGCTATCGCGATGCACTCTGTATTGATTTGTTAGGCGATTTGAATCTAGTTCTTGTGTTTGTTGGCACTTGTCAGTGCGGCTTATCTGTAGCTTTGAAGGAATGGATGACAGTGCGAAGATCGGGATCTGTGTTACTCAGTGTGACAGTCAAAGACGTCTAGCTACCCCTTGACTAAAGGTCTTCTTTTCCTTTCGCTTATTTGTATTCGTACTGGTCATTTTGTTAAAAAGTCACATGGGGGAAAGGACAGTTCCCTTGTTCCAAACTGATTTGCAGATTTGGTTAGTATCCACATATGTGTTAATTTCAAATAAATCTGAATTCCAGGCGTCTAGGAATTCCCAGGAATTTTGCATGTTCCTTCTGTCTAAAAGAGCCATCCTTTTCATGCTCTAATCACACTGCTAAAATGGGGTGTAAAATAGATGTTTCTACATTGTACAAACCAATCTATAAGGTTGTCTGTTGTAGGTGTATCGTAAAGTTTGTTGAAACTCTAGCGCTCAGGAAGTTTGAGCCACCTTTAGTACTATGTTATTGTACTCAGCCTTCCTTGGCAAATTTTGTTTCAAAACCGAAACTAAAGTACTACTATCCCACATTTTTGTTTATTGATCTCCACTATTATTCTGACCTTCAATATAGCCTTCATTTTCTGAGGTCTTAACAATTTGTTAATTTTTTATACATTTCTGTTATCCGATTGTTCTAATACCACTGTACCTACATGATTCAGATAGATTACATCTTCTTCTTGTATTATCGATGGAAATAAATCAAATGAGAGAAGTTTAAAATATGGGCTAAAATGACAAAAGCAATTTCTCTAAATTTGACATCAGTACTGGATATGATCGATATAAACTTAACACGCTAACGAAAACTATTCTGATTCCCTAGTCCAAAACAACAACCACTACGATAACAACAATAATGTTGTCGGTACACGAAATAAAAGATGAAAAGATGGAAAGTTGACAACAGAGTGTTTATTATCTCAGATAAGATTCGTTTTAAATGACCTTGACAAACACACTTAATTCACTTATCAGTTAAAAGAGTTAACAACCAATCAGAGTTCAACCTTCACAAAGAGTGGGAAATACGAAAGCGTCGCGGGTGGTTTAAATTTCTAATTGATTAAGATTTTAATAATCTTAAATATAGCTCCATTTCATATTTTAGTTTTTCTGTTTTTGCAGATAAACGATTTTTTTAAAAGATGTTTTAATGAGTGTTAAATAGCTAAATTGAATAATATACTCTTTCACTTGAGGGATTTGAGCTTCTTTAAACGTTATTGGTCGAATCTCTGGCGAGTATATATTTCTCAGATTACTCTACCTGCATGTCTCTATGGGTTCTCTGTATGCATTTATGGTTTATGCACCTGGTATATTCCCGAAGGAGTACAACTTTCATACTTTCAACCCCTCTATTCCCAACTCTCGCCTTGTATCTCATCAAGTAGAACCAGAAACCAGTATAAAATAATCTATGCTCGTACAACCAAGTACAGGAACTCAACGATACCATACTAAGGCCCGTGTTCTAAGTGACAGAGACAATATTAAGCGCGAAACCTATGACTTGCTTTGTTGTTAATAACATAATTTTAGGCTCTTTTATTCCTCTCTTATTTTGTATTCTATAGTGAACTCCTTCTTAAACATACTTAGCTACCTAAATTATTAACATTGGCTTACTTTTTTGTACTTTACTCTATTCCTTCTTTTGTGTATCTACTGGTTCCGACTATATTAGCACTATGAGTAGTACAAAATTGTCCTGTCATTAACCATCATGTAATTATTAGTTTTTGTGGTTGTTGTTGTTTCTTTTGTTCGGCAATATTAACTGACAATCTTGGTTGTGAACGCCATTATCACCATCTTAAAATTTTGTATTATGCAGGATTACTCACACTACCACTACGAACACCGCATTAGACCTGACAATAAGAAACAAAACAACAACCCTGAAATGTTATTTTATGATTGTTTAGTGTTGTTTCAACCAAATTAACTGATCATCTTGGCGATAAACATTCTTAAATATCATTTCATAACTTCTTGTATGACTATAGCTTTACTGTCACCATGCATAATCATATCATAGCTTCCACTACCCAATACTGAGGTATTATTATATGCTGTTTATTTTCCTTTCTACTTCTTGGTATTTTTTCGCAATATTTTATTATTTTTGTGTTTTTGTGTTTTTTTTTGCTGTTGTTGTCTTTATATTTATTTTTTTTTAAATACTCCTTTTAAATGTTTGATAAAATTAGATGCAAATATTGTAGATATGTGCTGAAAATTCCACACTGTACCACTAGTACTGTTTCTGGAATAAAGCAAATATTATTATTATCTTTTTTGTTTTGTAGCGGAAAATATTACATATAGTGGATTTTGGAAACGCTGTAATTATTTCAATCAGACATGTGAAATTACACTTCCATTTCTTACTAAACATGAGGGTAAGTTATTTCTTCGCCTCCTCCTTTTTTGTGTCTAGTGGACTTAAAGATCATCTGATGAATTATTTGAATTGTGTTGTGGTCTATTTATATGGAAGAGAACTGGAAATATCTTGGGCTGTACTATTGATTGTTGGAATTCGGAAGTCTTAGATTAACGGATCTCTTTGTTGACCACCTGGGTGTAATATTTAACTCATAGCTCTATGGTTCAGGATCCAAATCATCAAGCCTTCTCAAAGTTGTAGGCTTAAATGTTGGATGAAATTAGCTTTCGAAACTTCTTTTGGTTTTCATTAGTCCTAGAGCTGAAATCCATTGACAGTGAAATCTACATAAGGGTCCACCTTTAGTGTTAAGTGTGAAGATGAATACTTGCTGGTGACATTGGCTGGCGGCCACCCTATAGGTCACGAGAAGTTAGAATCTATGGGCCCCTGGTTTGCCTCCCAGTGACTTAGTGGTCAACAAACTCGCTATGTAACGTGAAACTCCTAGATTTTATCATTGGTGGTGTGACGGGTGACTAGGACTATTAAGGAGCGCAGTACTTCCTGATTTTAATTGCCTCTCCAACTGAAGTCAATAGATGATCTAACTTGGATCCTTTGACTACTGGAGATAAATGTGTTTTTTTATTTTAAGTACTTCCTTGACGTTTTTCACTTTAGGCAGTATTGTCAGACAGAAGGTAAGCTAACTTGAAAAAAAAATCTTTGTGAAGCCCTCTGTCTATGCTAACTGAGCCTTACATACTTATTTTTTGTTGTTGTTGTTTGGACTCAGTTAGAAATGATCTTAAGTTTTGTTGTGCGACAACTGTATTTTGCAAATTTATATCTCAGACAAACAGCCCTTAAACATATTGACCTAAATCATCTCAACTTGACTGATAATCAGATTTTCTTGCTTCAATAGGTTTAGTGAAGAAGAAACATCTGAACATATGATTGTTTTGAATCACATAAGGTGTGTATAGTAGATGAATCTCCGACCAACTGAGTTACGCCGAATAGCCCTGAAGTCACCATTCAGAGTAGGTTAAGTCAGTTGGCGGATGGTGACTAGCAGTGGAATCCAGGATGCAAGTTTCGTCCTATGTGGAATTCGACGTCTGGATGTACCTGCATTCCCCACTGAATGATGGTGTTCCCACTGAAGCTTGAGACCAGTGGCCATAGTTTTAAGTGCCCGTTGCAGAAGAGGTGGCTCTCGTGGCCCAAGCGGTCTATTGGATAATGCTTAGGCACTTAAAACTATGAGCACTGGGTTCAAGCCTCGGTGGGAACGCCATCATTCAGTGGGGAATGCAGGTACATCCTGATGACGAGTCCCACGTAGGGCGAAACTTGCATCCTGGATTCCACTGCTAGTCACTATCCACCGATTGACTTCAGGTTACATGATCGGATATCGTCGACGCATCTGAGCAAGGAGCCGACATGTCCACTTGAGACCGAACACTTCGGTCCGATCAATCAACAGAGTAGTTTGAGTTAAAGGAAAACAGTATATTTACGAAATGAATGTTTTTTGAAGCATAAGACCACCTTCCTTTGAAATGTTGCAAAAAAGCAACTCTCCGTTTCTTATAAAAGTGTCAGAATTAATCCGAATGGCTGAAATTTGAGGTAAGAGTTAGATTAGGGTAAATTTATATTTTAGAGTTAGAAATGTACTAGTTAAAATTTAGTTAAAGGCACCTATGTGAATAACTTGTTCTCCCTAAATCCTGTACAACTTTCTTTGTCAATGATGATAAGCCCGGATTTTCCGTTTTAATTTCACTGTCACCTATGGAAACTGTGATTAGATCCTTCTAGGCACTTAAGTCCGTCGCTGATTTTCACTGACATACCAAATGAACGGTGATGTCTTCAATACTGGACATTACGATATTGGCTTCGTGACAAGAAATAAGGTTGAGGGTTTAGACAACTGAAAAACTCAAATAAGTTCACTTCATATTGAAGTCCATGCTGTAGATGCTCCCTAGAAAGACAATGAATGCATTACACAATTAAACCATCCAGCTCAAAGAACAAAATCACATCAAAAGCTAAAAAGCTCATAAGAATTAGTACAAAATAAAGTCATACAGACAGTTAATTCTCTCTTTCATTTCCATTAATTTCCAGTAGGATGTTGTTACAGTTTCTTTTTTTTCAATTCATGCTGTCGTCTCTGAAAAGTTACAATATTAAAGTTACCATAGTAACTGGTCTTTTGATACACAAAACAAATAGATACAAAGTTCTTTTTACTGCATTTTATTGCATGAAAATATGCATTAAATACGAATTTCACTTGAATTTCAATTATCATTAAAAGTGGTTTCCGGTAATTATTTAATTAATTAATTAACTAATTAATTGAGCAATACCCATGATTATTATCCAACTGCTAAACGATAAACACTGTGATTATTAAACATTAAGTCAATAATTAAATTTGTGTCATGTTTATTGGGATACTTAACGTTTGCCATCATTCACCAAATAGCTATTATCAAAGAGATTTGATCGCTGTTTTTAGGCGACTGTAAAATAAACTGTCGAAAATGGCGCCTTACGGACGACCTTGAACAGGGGACAGTTTTTCAAACAAACAAATACGCAAGTGACCTTGAAGTGACAAATTGGAGTAAGGCGGTATAACTTAGATGAAAAAATACTATAGCCACGAAAAGAAAAACGTTGAAAGAAGTGTAAAAACTGATCGGAATCCGATTGTCTTAAACGTTACAGAAATAATCTCCGATTTCTTATACAAGTCATTACCGTTATCAAAGGATCTTAACTTTACCTTAAGAGTTCGTCTACTACATATTACTGAAGCCGTTGGGATCGACATTAGGAAACCTAACTTATGTATTCAAAAGAAGCTGGTTCAGACACTATCCTTACCTCGGCCGATCAAGTTTCTAATGATCCTCAATTTGTTGTGGAAATTTCCTCAGTTTTATTTGAGATTCCATTTGCTATTATATTTGTGTGCTTATTATAATTTATGCATCTTCAGTGAGCTGTAATTCCGTTGATCTTACTTAACAAATCGATAGTATTTTAAAAACACCAATATTGTTACTGACGACTATTCTAGAATATTCTATGTATATAAACATATTTACAATTGTAGAGCCAGAAGAGGAATTTATCGAAAAGGATATTCTTTGCTCAATTTTTGTTTTCTTATAGAAGCGACAGTATTCATCCAAATGGCTACCATCTACGGTCACGAAGTATTACTATAGTAAGGATTTAGGGTCAGGGCTATAAGTCAGAGATTAAGATTATACTTTTAAGCTTATTCTTCAGATTAAAGCTATTTGAGCATATTCTGAACAGCATTTGTTATCAATACTGAACCTGATTTCTCAGTTAGAACTGTGTTCTTACCTACGGAAATTCCAGTTGCTCATTTGCTTGAGTCATTATTTGGATTACTTCTCCAATAAGCGCATTATCCAGAATAAAGTTAATATTATGATAATTTTGTGGTCTTAAATGATTGATTCATAACTTCTTCACCCTACATAATAGTTATACCACTTTTAATATAGTTTAGGTTAATTATTATATTATTATTATTTCCTTTAATTCCTAGAGGAACATAGGGCTTCAGCCACAAGTCTCCATTGCGTTCGGTTCTCTGCTAGAGTCTTCACCTGACTCCATGTCTGCCCACACGTTTTCATCTCCTCTTCACATGACCTCCTCCAAGTCACCCTTGCACTGACGACCAACTCGCCGTTTCCCTTTCGGGTTCCACTCGAGCAATGGCTTGTCTAGTGATGTCACTCACTTGATGATGGTTTCCTCAGAGTATGGCCAGCCAATCCATCTCCATTTCTTCCTGCCTATTTGTTGCACAATCGGTTCCTGCTGGGTTGGTTCGCTCATTACCAGAGATCTCTGTTGCTGATCTTTTCTGGCTGGCTGCCATCTGATCTTGAGCAGTATTGAGCGAAGACAACTGTTAATGAAGGTCTGTAGTTTGTTTGAGATGCTCTTTATGACGCGCAGTGCAAGTCTCTGATCCGTATAGTGAGTAGCACTGACTTCACATTGGAGTTGAAAATCCGGATCTTATTTTGATGCTGAGTGCTTTTGACCTCCACACAGACAGACTTGAGAGTAGTGAAAGCTTGTCTTGCTTTTCCGATTCTTGCTTTGGTACCCTCGTCAGTTCCGCCTGCAGTTGAGACGATGCTTCCCAGGTAGGTGGTAAAGGAGGTAGTTTCTTTCAGGTTCCTTCCATTTATGCTGATTGTCGTCTGTTGGTGGTGTTGCCCAGAAATCTTCATCACCTCCGTTTTCTCAATGTTCACCTGAAGTCCCATCTTCCCCGGATGCTTCTTCTGCCAACTTGTTGCTTTTCACTTGCATATCTCCCAGTTTGTGGGAAATCAGACACATATCGTCGGCGAAGTCCAGATCCTCCAAGTTTTTTGTGTGAGTCCATTTTATGCCTGTTTCCTCATTGCCCGCTGTTTAGGTTAATACTTATTGATTAACATTGATAACCTTCGTGAATTATTCATATGATCTATGAGCAATGAATGGGGTTATCCATGCATAAAATGTACATTCATTATGTCTACATAAATCTGTCATGCTGAATTGAAATTTTGTTTTGTAGTAGAACTCCCACCCATCATTTTCAATACTACTATAAAGCTCAACACGCCTTATGCATACTTTCATCCTATTTATAATCTCATTCATTCACATCCCAAGTAGAACAAATGGCTTCAAACCATTTTTTGACTTTTCAGTAACCCAACCTTAAATATTTCTCTAACTTATTATTAGCTAGTTAGCTGGGCGAGAGGTTTCGGATAGCTTCAGCCTGGAATAGAACTAGAAACTTTTGATTGGCTGGCGAGTATTATGTCATTGAATTACCGATTTACTACTAAGCCTTGTTTCGTTCACTTTGGGGCTCGTTAGCTGAACATACCTTCAGTTCCAAAGAATGATGATGTTCCTTCTGAAAGACGAACCCCACTTCATCGTTTCATTCTATACATAAGTAAGACATAATAAGTAGCATGTTGATTAACGCCTTCAGAGAAGCTATTTCAGTGGTGGAAAAACTACTGGAGAAGAAGCATGAATAGTGAGTACAAATACTTAGAAGAATCTAATAAGTAACAGACAGTAAAGAACAAAGCATGTCTGTTATATTGTAACCGTAGATGGCAAGAGAATTTGGTATCTCTATATAGGGAAATTATCTACACCCTATCTTCAACGCACCACTTGCACAGATCTTCCGTGCTGTCCTGCTTCTGTCCTTCATTTTGCGTTTCTTTGTCTTCCTTTTCACGTCTCCCATTGTTTCTCCGCAACGCTTAATCATTTGCTCTTTTGACGTCAAATTTATCTCCCTGCTATTTGATGTTTTTATGATGATGAACGTCTCTTTATATACTACTGATAAATCTTATCAGCAGCACATGCCACAATATAGAAAAGATGATGTTATTTGCAAATTGTGTGAGATCGTCTCTTCTTGTCAGTGAGACATCGAGAAAGTGAAAAGAGTTATTGTATTCTCCTGCTTAGGTGAAATACATCTCTTGGTGAACACTATTGAAGTGGCTCAAAGTCAGTTCGCTATGTGGATCTACGTCGTACACCACAAAGTGTTATCCATGTGAAGACATTACAGTTCAATTTTCGATATTTCATGTTTCAACAGACCATTTTATAGTTTTTCTAGGAATATGTTGGAAAATATAAGACCTAGTGGAGATCCCATGGCCACTCTGTCAACGTCTAACCAGAGTGATAAAGAAGACTTTCCAATCTGCATATCTCATGTAGTCTTAGAATCAATTAGCAGAATGCTCCTCTCCTTCTAATACTTACTTGTGCTGTTAATTTGATGACAAACGAACAATAACGCATAACATGTAACTCATGATGACTATAAAAATGATGATCCAGTTAGCTGTGGGGTCTTCTAGCTCAGTTGATAAAGAGTTGAACTAGTAGTTAGGAAGTTCATGCAATTCTTCCCATTAATAAACTTGAACAAAGCAAGAACAACAATTGTACCAGGATAATATGAGCTCATCTTTTATTATTTCGAGGATTCTTCTCAACTGGTTACAACCTGAACGATAAAAATATGAATTACATTACATTAAAGATTTGAACATACTTTTCCACGATCACAAAGAGTAATTGGTAGGAAGTAAAAGTAACATTAGTCCGGAATGATTTAACTAATTAAGAGTTACAAACACTGACTATTTATAGAATAATTCAAATGAACTGTGATCAATATTTGACAGTTTATAAATATTTATAGAATAATTAGGCAATTAGGCTTGGAAACAAAAACAGAGTTGCATATATATATGTGTGTGTATAGAAACAAGGTTTAGCTAGACAGAGCATAACAAAAAGGTAGATTACGTAACTAAAGAAAATGTTTTATCTAATAGCCAATAGAAAAAAAGGAAGAGAAAAGAACAAGAAAGGGTGAGTCATGTTTAGATGAGAGAGTAGAGTTTTCTAAACAAGAAAAAGATGACTCATACAAGTTGTATATTTTGTTGTCACCAGGTCAGTGCAAGATTCACCACTGTTTCTTTCTGCATACATAGATTTGGTTTAGGTCGTCTGATAGCAGTTGCTTCAGCAAAGCGTAGCAAGTTAGGTTTCTTTTGCTTGTTGATTATTTTGAATGACTTCAAGTTGTCTACATTATGACCAGTGTGTAATAGATGACGCGCAGTTGCACTGTTTAATACTTGTGGACTTTTCAGTCTCAGGTTCTTTAGTATGTGTTCAGAAATGCGGACAATAATAAAAGATGAGCTCATATTATCCTGGGACAATTGTTGTTCTTGCTTTGTTCAAATTAGGAAGTTGCTCGTTCAAATCCTGACTCGAACCAAACATTCATTTCACCTTCAATCATCACCCATTCCATAAACAGTAATCTTCCAACCGAAGACTACCTCGGATAGTCTCCTTATCAATTAATGTATCTTTATTAACACTTTGAGTTAGACTGGCAGGTCAGTTGACCTTTTACTATTCAGCTTGTTAAAGAAAAGCTAAATTAGCCTGAAATAGTCTAACTATTTACAGAATAGTGAAAGGAATTAGACATACGCTACTTAACTGGTTGCAGATTCATTCTACTGATGAGTGTCAAATCAGTGCGAAAGCCTGGTTGACTCTTGATATCACCAAATAAAAAAATTCAATTGCCTTTTTCGTTTATTTACTTATGTTAATAAACCTAGATAAATGAATTACAGTTGAGCATTGATTAAACTCTGATATGTCCTCTTGTTCTTTTTCTTTTTTAGGTTGGCAAGATGGTGCATTCTTTATACTTATACTGGCTATATTATTAAGTTTCTTAGGATTGAGTCTTTCAGTGGCTGGCCACTTAGTTTATGCTCTTCCTAAAAGATTATACTATTTTCATTCAGGTGGTGAAGCACATGTTGTTGCAGGTAATTTTATTCTCTAAAATATTTTTCTGTGTATGTATACAAGTGTTGTGTTTCTTTGGCGGATGATGGCTAGCAGTGAAATCCAAGACTAAGTCATCAAAAATCAACCAAGTTGTTACCATGACAGTAGAGGTGGTTGAGTAATTCACAGCTCCGGTTTTTCTATATGAATGGTTAGAGCTTCAGCGATACAAAGAAGACGAAACTGTATTGCCTTTGGTAGGTTATTCTTGACTCTGTAGATTACCTTAACGGAGGTGCTTGTTGAGATGGAATGATGAGTGTTAACCAGGTGTTCAATTATCGCACTCCTTATTGCACCACTATTGGCTTTTCACAACCATGCTGGATAGTGTTCTTGAATCCTCTTGGACAGGATGCGCGTCGAACAACTGACGTGCCTGGCTCCAGAGCAGCAGGTGGACTGATATATGCACATAGAAGTGGTCAGATGCAGGATCTTGTCTTTAGGGCTTCTGTAGATCACTGGGCGACTGGAGAACACTATTCGTAGCGTTGCTGCATAGAATGTTCTTCTCAGAGATGATGTGATCTTTCTCTTTAGGATATCGCTTGTTAAATCTTCCTTGAAATTCAAGTTCATGTTGAGTTTCTTTTTCGGTGCAAGTGAAGTTTCATTTCTCCAAATTCTTCGCTTGACATTTCCATCAATGAATCTTGGTGTTTATCCATTTTGGATGAAGACTTCTGTTGAAAGATCTAATTCTATTCCTAGAACATCGGGACTACAGATGCACTGGATGCAGGTGGCAAGGGATTTAGTTAAATTCCTCTTTTGTCGAATGGGTACCCAGCTATAGAAGCTTGTTATTTGACTATTCCAAGTAGCTTTTCTATGAAACGCTCTTCTTAAGGTCCCATCAGTTCTTCTTCTTGTTAGTTCCACATCAAGAAAGGGAATTTTTGATTCGTTTTCCATTTCAAGAGTGAATTTTATTGCTGGTTGGCAACACTTAAATGTTCTCAGCAGTAGATTGGGGTGATTACTGTTGTCACAGATAATGAATATGTCATCTACGTACCTTTTATACAGTCGTAAATTGTCGATGCTTGGCTTTAGTGGAACTTTCTCGAGGCTTGCCACGAATCAATCTGTTAGTAGTGGACCAAATAGAGATCCCACCGCAATACCATCTTTTTGTCTATAGATGGTGTGGTTGATTCGCATTTTTTACTCATTTGAGACTCATCAGATAATACATCCAACAGTCTCCAATGTATGATGTGTTCCCATTGGGACTCGAACTCATCACCCATTTGTTCCAAAGTCTTTTTCTGTATCATTTAGAACACAATATGTAAACAGAGATTGAGCAGTTCGGTCCATTGTGATATAATCGATCAACGGGAAATAGAAAATTAACTTCAAGAAATAATGTTTTGTTTGTTGAAGTCACTTAATATATAAGCTGGTTGGGGGCAAACGGCAGGGAGCCCTGGATCTAGGTTCTGTACTTGTTGGCACTCATCAGCAAGGCATATCTAGAACCTTGAAGGAATCAGTATCCCTTTTGAGATTTGAACTGGTGTCACCAAGTACTGCAGTCAGAAACGTCGTCACTGAGCTATTCGGCCTCACAACTGACATCCTATAGGGCAGTAATGGATGCATTAACTGGTTGATAGGGAATAGTTAGTGTCATGAGTCTATCTGGCAATTTTTCGATGTGATTACCAAACAAAGTGTGACTCGCTTTGCAAACTGAGGTGAAAAGAACAATATCGAGCCCTAAAATCTTAGTGGTAACGTTTCTAACTGCACCGACGGATGATGCGGGCTCGAATTTCAAAGGGGATATGAATTCCTTCAATGGTTCTAAATACGCCTTACTGACGAGTATCAGCAAACATAAAACTTAGATCTGAAGCTTCCTTCCAACTGCCACCGATTACCTGACAGTAATTCACAGTGTACCTCAGTGGTGACCAAGTTAGCTTGGTGACCCCATTACAAAAACATGACTGGAAGAATTCAGTCAGCGACAACAGCAGAGATTAGATACATGACATTGACTACTCCCCAGAGAGGAATCAATGAAATCCACTCTTAAATTAATCCCAATTCCTACGAACCTGAAATCTAAGTCGTTCATAAGTCAACTGACATAGACTTCTACATAATTTTTTTCTTCGTATCTAAAAACGATAGAGGTAAGTACTTAAGTTTTTAGAAAAAAAATACTTTCAATACTTTCAATCTGTATTGGATTATTTTGCTGAAATGAATTTTAATTAAATTTAATCTGTTTAACGGATTAACTGTTAAAAGAATTTCCAACTTTGAATGGATTATATAAACAGAAACTCATTCTTAGATGTATTTTTTTTAAATATTTAAATAAGCACCTTATTATGTATATTTTTTTAATTCCTGTACATTCCCAATGGAACGCATATGGCTTCAAGCTAGAGCCTTGCCAAACCTTCTCTCTTTACCAGTCTTATTCCTAACTTAGCGAGGTAAAAGACTGCGTCGGCCAGTGATCGAACCCTGGACTACTTGCGTGGTTGGCGAGCATTCTACCTCTGCTCCACCGACGCTTCGTGTTATGCTTACCGTTGGCAAAGTATACAACTTTAATTTTATTCATTTTTTGACACTAAACTCCAAAGCACTTAGACCAGTTAGATTATTCTATAAGGTTATAAAGTGATTGCAGACTGTCAGCAAGAAAACCCAATGCAGGCCAGTACAGATACTCCTTGCTGATGAGTGCCAGTAAGCATAAAAGTTAGGTCCAAGGCTTCTGGCTGGTCGCCATCAACCATCTAGCAACCATTAAGAGCTCATGACGATAACAAGCCACCTAACTTGGTGACGATACCACAAACTTAAATGATAGAATTCCGTCGATATCAGCATTAAGGAACAGATGCAAGACACTGGCTACACCCTAGTGACAAATCAATTTAGTTTAATGTTTAGATTAGTAGACTCTAATTAGCAATCAAAAAAAAATTCTGAAGCCACGCTTGTCCCGTATAATGAATAAACTGTGTTTACGCTAACTGATCCTGTTCTTGTCAACCTTAAAACAATGATGAAAACATTTTCTTTTAGTTGAAGTTTCAAGTGATAAATATATTTCAACTTTTCCTACGAAACTGCACTGATAATGATACCTGTTAGGATAGCGAAACGGTCATCAGTTGAAATTTCTCTAGCTTAAAGAACCCTTAAGTCAACACAAATAATTTATGAAGACATGAAGGTTAATGAAAATAAAGACATTGAAAGTATTAAACACATAAAATATGTGTGGTCAGTATTGTTATAAGCCTTTAGCTGACTTAATTTTCGCCAGTAAGTTTAATTAGTCCTAAATTGCAGTTTTTGTAGCACTGATAGTTCCTTTCGTATTTTTCACTTTTTCTGAGGACTGAACTGTCATTGTTTGTCAACGTCCTGGAACGCTTTCAACTCTTTTATCTGTTATTTCACAGTTTTTTCAGTAGCAAATATATTATAACTCCTAATATTTTGAAATGACAGAAACTAGCAGCTCAAGTAGATGTTTGCAGTGTTGCTGAGTTCTTTTAGTCGTACGCTTTCATTGAGAAGCTTTCATCATTCATTATCCTCTGAGACAAGATAACCAGTGCTAACTTCAGTGTGAACTGAGCTTTTTGAACTCTTTATATAACTCGAACTGTGATCAATTTTCTTGAAGAGTAAATTCGTAAAACTGCATACTAAACACCGAACGGCCGTTTAGCTCACATTTACGACAGAGCTTATCATCAGTGTACCCTGTTCCACACAGCATAGAGAACCGAATTATTTCGAACCATCCGATTTCTGACTAGCTACTTGTGTGAATTAGGGATTCCATAAATTTATTCTGCAAAAGTGTAAACTTGTAATGATAGAAGACAAGGGCCAGGCAACAGATTGTTTATTGAGAAAATCAACAGATATTTATAGATTTTAATGTGCATTATTGTCAGTGGAGAAGAAGTCTCTTCTGATTGGTTGTTTTCCTGCTGAAGGTTATTCTGTACCGCTCGTGACCGTTCCTTAGAAAGTTAAGTCATATATCTGTGAATCATATTTGCACACATTAATTTTGCTGTGATTGGTTGGTGAGTTCATCAAGGTTAAACTTTGTTACTGTTTTTTTCTCATGACCCTGATTCGGGACGTGAACAGTGACGTAAACTGTTGTCTACAACTTTGGCTAGCAGACAGTTCTCACCACAAACTGTTCTTTAAATTGTGAATTCGATCTATTTTCTTTAAAGGTTTTCTGATACTGATCCTTTCTTTGATGAGTCACAGGAGGCAGGTTATATGACAGTTATGTGATTCATAGAGAATTCTAAGAAGCAACTTTGATATTTACTTTTCCTAGTTCTCGCTTTTCTTTCCCATTTGGCGTGAGGGTAGTAGAATTTCTGATATATCCAGGATAGCTACTGATTCATTCTTATTGTACATATTCATGTTTGATGTGATAAACAAGGTTTCAGTTATTCCTCCCTACCCATTTCCATCTAATTACATTAAATTCTAATATTGTCACTTTTTCCCATTCTATGATTGAAGTTACCATTGAAGATATTGTCTCGAAGTATGAGAATGAAAATTTCCCAATAAAACCAACCAGCTGGGAAACATCCATCTGAGATTTAAAGAATTTCTTCCCCTTGATTTCATGGTGTTGTTTTTTGTGGCTTTCATATTTAAAGATGATACGTTTGAATAACTGAACTGACATTAGTGAGGTGTGTTAGCGAATGAATTCTTTAAGATTTGTGTCAGCTGATTATGGCTTTGTGAATCAAAATGAAATAGGAATTCGCAAATGCAAATCATCTATGATTGTTATTATTATTACTGTTCCCTTGGGTTTCTAGTGGAACAAAGGGCCTCAACTGTAGATTTCATTTTTCATTTTTGATTACAGCTTGATCCCACACAGTATTTTTGGTACAAGTATTAAATTATCAGCATACGATATCGGTAGCCCAAATTGTGCAGGCCAACCAATGATATCAGGTGTGCGTCGGCAGGGGATCGAACCTCAGACCATGTGCATGGTCGACGAGAGTCCTAACCACTATGCCACCGACGCTGCTTCCAAGATTGCCCATAAACTTTCATCTACCCCTGATACGACCTCCTCCATGTCCCCTCAAACCCACTCTCAATCTCTTGTTTCGCATTCGAGGTCTACTCGAAGGCCTGACTGCAGTGTAGTGCAACTCAACGTCTCATCGGGCCATCTCCACTTCCTTCTGAGTCATTTTTGGTCGATAGGTTCTTGGCTGGTTTGTTCCCAGAGTTCCTTGTTGCTAATCCCCATTCTGTTCAGTATGTACGGTAGTTGGGTGTTCATAAACGTCTGCAGCAGCCTGTTGCAAATGCTCTTAGTGATTTGCGCGCCAAGTGACTGAACCATACAGAGCCATGACTGACTTGACATTAGCGTTGAAAATCCAAATCTTGTTGTTAATGCGGACTACAGCAGACTTCCACTCTGATTTCAGATTAATGAAGATCCAACTTCCTTTTCTGAACCTTGTTTTCGACGTTTTAATCTGTGACTGTGAAAATGCTGCTTAGATAAAAGTGGATGAAGTGACTATCTTTGGATTTCTCCTGTTGATGGTGATTGGTGCTTGTTACTACTGATCACTAGGCACCTTCGGCACCTTTGTCTTCTCTGTCAGCCTCTTCCTACAACTTATTGGTTTTCGAGTCTAGACTCCTCCACTAGACGCGCTATATATTATCCAAATAATGAAAGGAAGATTATTCTTATCGTTAAACATTATTTTACATATATATGCATATGCATATCAATGGGATAAATATATATATGTATAAGAATTTCTTAATCAAATATTTGTTTTATCTATCTGATTTTTTCTTATGGTTTATTTACACTAATATTATATTTCATTGTTTTTTCCCATCTCATTTCCTCTCTATCTCTTTCTCTATTTCTATTCCCATTTCTATTTTTAGCATTTGTTACTGCCTTATCAGTACTAATTTATCACATCACAATTCGATTGCATTTACGAACAGAAGGTCCTGTAAACTTTGGTGAAGCTTATGGTATTTCATGGTTTGCGTGTTTTTTACACCTATTGGCAGCTATTCTGTTACTGTTAGATGAAATTATTAATGAATTAGTCAATTTAGCTACTAGAGTTCATTGTATACGTTCATGTTTAAAGTGTATAATACAAACTTATAGTAAAACTATTCAAAAGAAACGTCAATTATTAACACATTATAATACAAAATTTACTAATGGAAAGTAAACTCTCTGTCACCTCTGTCTATCTCTCTTTCATTTGTTTTTTTCAATTATTCTTGTTTATCTCTTTTATTTTCTAGTACGAATAAACAAATAAATGCATAATATTTAAGAGAAAAGTTATAGTATTAGAAATTTTAATTTATACAAGATTATAAATTCTTATGATTATAACTGTCTTTCCTAAAAACATTCATTATTCATATATATATAATATACTTAAAACCTATATATTCGTAAAAATATAATCTTTTCTATTAAACACACATTTGAAAATTTTCAAATCTGGCGGTATTACAATGTTCAATGATGAAGGGACTTCTCGGCTATCATCATTACAAACAAACACACACAGGCTTGTGTATTCAACGACCAGAAAAACATGTGTTACATTTTCAAGATTATATTTAGACATATTTCTTGATGAAGGAGAGGGAAGTCAAAACTATCTAAATATTATATATATACACATGTTTACGATGGTACAACTTAATGCCATAAGCATTCTTTACTCATTTATTCAATTATTTTATTATACATAATTGTACTACTTAATTTTATGTGAGTAGTTAAAAATGAATCACAAACTCTTCTGGTGAAAATTTTGGATTGTATAACTTTTTATTCATCATTTCTGTCAACTTGATGAGAATATTTTATTGTTCTTTCTATTATGCGCCCTTTTTTCTCCTTCTACCCCAATCTTCCCTTCATCTACTCCATTCTGTAGAAACGAATCATTTTATTTTGTTTCTCTTTTGAATAATGCTGAACTTTCTGGGTTTTTTGTTTGACTAGGTTTTTTTTAAATAACTAAAGAATTGATTGAGTGAATTCTTAGAAGAGTTTACCAGTTAACTATTTGTTTTCTATAAAATTCTTCTCTTTTTCAGTTGTGCGCGTATGTTTTTTTCTTTGTAAAACCATGTTTACCATACAAAAGAAGAGGCTATAAAACGTGATTATATTCAAAAGGAATTAAAAATAAAAGATTGTGAATATGTTAAATAAAGGATAATGATATGAAGTGGAATTCTGCTTTTCATTTTTTTATAAAATATCCAGCAAAGCATACTAACAGCTTATTGGTTTGATTATTATTTTTCCCGTTAAAATATAACGATCTACATCAGTTGCAGCTTTCTGTTTATGAGGAGAATATTTCAGTTAATCCCAGATTTATTCTTATTTTTGATGCTGAGTGCTGTTGAAGTCCAACAGCAATCAGCATCAAAAATAAGATCCGGATTTTCAACTCCAATGTGAAGTCAGTGCTACTCACTATACGGATCAGAGACTTGCACTGAGCGTCATAAAGAGCACCTCAAAAAACTACAGACCTTCATTAATAGTTGTCTTCGCTCAATACTCAAGATCCGATGGCCGGCCATAAAAGATCAGTAACAGAGATCTCTGGCAGTGAGCGAACCAACTCAGCAGAAACCGATTGTGAAACAAATATGCAGGAAGAAATGGAGGTGGATTGGCCAAACTCTGAGGAAACCACCAAGTGACATCACTAGACAAGCCATTGCTCAAGTGGAACCCGAAAGGGAAGTGGCGAGTTGGTCGTCAGTGCAAGGTTGACTTGGAGGAGGTGATGTGAAGAGGAGATGAAAACGTGTGGGCAGACTTGGAGCCAGGTGAAGACTCTAGCAGAGAACCGAACGCAATGGAGACTTGTGGCTGAAGCCCTATGTTCCTCTAGGAATTAAAGGAAACAATAATAATAATAATCCCAGATATGAAGAAAGACACTAGAACTCCTGTCTAATTTATATGATTATGGGACAATAAAAAGTGGCTAAAAGTAGAGATTGCAGTTAAATGAATACCTAGTTAGCAAGTGGGTCTTTTAGATGAGTTGGTGGAGAGATAGATTAGTGTTTAGGCGGAGTCTGGTACGAATCGAGCCTCGACGAAAGTTTTCGTCTCTCTCTCTCTTTCAGTTATCACACACTATATAACTTAATCTTTGGTTTTAAACTTAAGGTAAATTAACAAATATGAGTTAATGTTTGATAAATATATTCAACAGGTAGTCATGACAACCATTAGTGCTCCATTGACATATTGAGATTATCTAGATATCAAGAAACACTTTCAACTGATTTAAAGTTATTTTATCAGCGACATAACTGGTATGACTTAAATGAGCCGGTCAAACAGTCTAAAATTCAGTTGACTTATTTGAAGAAATGATAACACTTAGAAGAGAATTCTATTGAGGAATTGTACTGTTCTTCTTCAAGCGAGGTAAAATATTAAGTCGTATCATCTAGGAGATACTAAATGATATAATGGTTACAGAATTCCTCCCCGTCGAAACCAGCTGGATTCAGAAAAGCAAATCATGTGCTGGTCAAATTGCAACTCTACGCATCATCACATCATCAAACAAAGCACATCATGGCAGTCAAAGCTCTACCTCATCTTTATCGGCTTTGGAGAGGCCTTTGGAAGCGTTGACCCGGAAATAATTTGTAAACCACAGCAACAATATGCAGTGAAGTGTCCCAAATCTTCATTCAACAGATATATGACAGTGCCATGCATCAGGTGATCCACAACGGAAAACTCAATGAAGCGTTTGAAGTGAATACAGGAGTAAGACAAGGTGAACTGCTAGCACCGATGATATTCCTAATATTATGGTGGACTGGATTATGCGTCAAACTCTGGGGAGCAAGAAGACGGGCATAGATAGGTTGAAACAACAAAAAGACTCTCGAAGATCTGAACTTCGCAGACGATTAATGTCTGATGTCACGTAAATTTCAAGACTCAAAGGCGAAAACCAAAAAGTTGACAGAAGATGTAACCGGAAATGACAGGAATGGCAAGTAACGGCAGAGAAGATGGAGGTAATGAAGATAACCAACCGATGACAGCAAAACGTGCACCAATCACTATCGACAGAAGAAATTCGAATGGAGTCACTTCTTTCAATTATCAAGGCAGCATCAGTTCAACTACAAGCAGAGACAAGGATGAGGATGTCAAAGGATGGATCAGAAAGGCAAAAATAATACCTTCATCACTCAGAAATCAGTTTGGATATTTGCTGCAATTAGCATAAATAATATGATTCAGATATTCACCACTACTGTTGGGTGATTTCTATCATATCGGACAGAAATTGACCATGATAATTTATAGTTGATTTTGATTGGTTGTGCTACCCAGCACGTCAAGAAAAGCATTCCCAAATGGCTGCTGGAAACTTTTATAAAAATTCGCCTTCACTGTTTACTGAATATCAGATGAACAAAATGGATCAGCTACGAATAACTTTGGTAATGTATGAAAATGTATAATGAAGAAAGTGGAGATGGATCAGGCACAATGTGGGGAGAACGTAAGGTGACAGCAAGTCATCGCTCAAGTGGAACCCGAAAGAGGAAACGATGAGTTGAACGTCCGAGGGTGACACGGGAGAGATCGTTTGAGGTGGAGATAGAAATTTATGGGGAATTCTACATTCCGCTAAAGAAGTTAGCAAAGAATGGAAGAAAATAGAGATGTACTGTTGTAGCCCTATGTTCCACCTGGAACCGAAGGGAGTAATAATAATAATAATAGCACGGATTACTGCCTTAGATAAAATGTTTATATCACACTAGCAAGTCTGCGTGACACTATGCCAGCTAATATTGCTCAACCAGTGACCCGACCGACGGCTTAGTGTTCTGCTTTTCCCTTTATTTTATCGCATTATAACAAAACATTTCTGTGATTAGCTACACAACCAGATTTTTCACCACTTTGGATTCTAATCTTGCTATCTCATTTTTATAGTATTGTGTGATTATTAAAGAGTTCCCTCTATTAAGAGCCCAACGCGCCGTAAATTCCACCCAGTGCTCTGAGTATCAACGTGAAGAAACTCGCCCGGGCATGGGTAATGGCGGAATACTAATGATGTCTTCCCATGATGTATACATGTGGCCTTGCGCTGTGTGCACCGTCGGGGCGGTGTCTGAGGGTCATGATTGCGCTGGCAGGTACCTCTTCGTGGTTTCCGCTGGGTGGGGTGGTTTTCCGGCTGCCTCAGCGAAATCCTGTCAGGACGAGAGCGAACTATTTCTTGCCTTTGGGAATGCCGAACGCGGCTTGTTCTGGCTGTTATCTCCTTTGGCGCTTGGGTGTCTTTGGGGGCGCTGGAGCATTGACTGCGAACGGTAGCCTGGTCATGAAAACCGAGTGGGATGGATGTTGGGAGAGTCTGGTACCCTATAACAACGGTGCAGCTTGATTCGAACTTCGGACGACCTGCGAGGGGATCATTTCCGAGACTAGTTTGCTCATGGATGGTGGCCTTTAAGGCTTCGTCGGACTGCAATCGGTCGTGGGGCCCCGTGGCTGGTTGTAGGTATTTAAAACCGTCCAGCGAGGTCATACAGCGCAGGTAGGTGGCGCGACCTCCAGTTGCTCGGGCGCGCAAGCATCAGGGTTCCGCCCATGATTTAGTGGGAGCAGAGCAGCCGTGGGAGTAACATCTTGCGGTCCGGGGACCCAGTCTCTCAGACCAGACTGAACATCTTTTTACGACTGCCCCAAGAGGGGTATATGACCATCGTCTCTATTCAGGAAGCATTTAGGACATCTGGTGGTTCGGGATGTGGAATGGATTCATGGGCAGAGGTGATCGGGGCCTTAATAGTGGAAGCAGAGGGGAGCCAGTGGTGAGAGGATCGTCGGCATTTCTAGGTGCTCTTGCCGGCCTTACTTACGTGAGGAAATGTCCTAATCCGAGGACGGTGGTTGTATGCCACCTGCAAGGTGGAAGTGCAATTATGTGACCAGGTCGTGTGAGTTGTCATGACCCGCTGAGGTGGGGCAGTATGTACCATCTGAGAAGTAGCCATGGTCTGTGTTGAGACCTGGACAGTGGGGGGGTTGGGAAAACACCTGCCGCTGCGGGAGCGTTAATGGGGTGCCTGGCATGGGGTGCTCATTTTCATTCTGCAACGTCACCGAGGTGTTGTCTGCTCAGCAGGGATACTGACTCAAGGGGGGAACAATGGGAAGGGAAATAAAGTACCACTCTCTCCTCTGGAGGCCTTGTTGAAAATTGACGTAAAACGCTTAACCAGATCAAAACGTAGTGGTTCTGAACTCCTAAACTTCAAGGATTCATGAGTCATCATTGCTTCAGTAGTCT